TAGAACAAATCTCTCTATTCATTAAGAGAATGTAACTATATATCTATCCTAACCATTTTGAATACACAGATACAAAATGGACATTCATCTGTATCCCCTCTTCTGTTTAGTTCTGTCATTTGCATATTATAGGTGTTTTAACTCAGCAAAATATTCTAAAAGAGTCCGGTAGTCCATAATAGTATTAGGTCTTCCGCTTGACTGGCAGTGTCAAAAATTGTTGACAAGAGTCCCCTACAGCTGTTTTTAGGTTCTTATACTAGCACGATAATATGCTTCACGTGTAGGTCTGGTTTATTTTACTTATGAGTATGGTCTCTAGCTGCACCTATTTGCCGATAAAAGCCTTGAGTTTATCTTTCCATAGCTGAGTAATAATCCATTGAGTAAAAATACCATATCTTTTTTATCTGTTCCTCAGTTGAGGGGCATTTGGGTTGTTTCCAAGATTTACCTATGAAAATTGTGCTGCTATAAACATGGGTGCATAGATATCGCTGTGGTATGATGTTTTCAGTTTTTCTGGAAAAATACCCAGGAGGGGAATAGCTAAGTTGAATGGGACCTTTAATCCTAGTTTTTTGAGAAATCATACTGATTTCCCTAGTGGTTGTACCAGTCTACATTCCCATCAGCAGTGGAGAAGGGCTCCTTTTTCCCTATAGCTGCAGAGGGGATGCAGGTGGGGACATTCATTTTAGAATAAATGGGGCTCTGGCCCTGTTCAGTCCCCCTCTTACAGGCCAAAGCTATGAGATGGAGATAAAACTCAGGAAGCCAGTGTGGAGCAGCTTCAGAAAGCAGCCCATCCTCCAGCCTGACTGAAGCCCCTCTATTTTTCTAGGTCTCTCCCCCCCCCTTCTTACTTCTCTTGTTCAGTCCCTCCCTCCCCTTCTTGCTTGTCCCATGCCAACCTCACTGTCCTCGGTGAGCATGCCCCAGCCAGTTATCCAGCAGGATGTAGGACTGAGCAGCTGCATGTCTGGGTGTGGGAGGCAGGCAGGGATGACATAGGATGAGAACTTCACAGGCAGGTACAGCTGCAACATGGCAATGTCACTCCCAAAGGGATGAAACTTCTCGAAGTCTGGGTGGGTTATGATTCGGCTCACAGATATCTTCTGTGTGTGCTGGGTTTGCTGGTATAGCTGGGTGTTCCCTAGTAGAACCTGATAGTCCTCCAGGGCCTTGGATTTGCTGGAAGAAGAAGGACCCATTATCACCTTCTTCTTTAGTGTGGCCCTAGCGTTTTCATCTCACTGTCCACACCCCACAGAACCCTCCCACCCTGCTGCAATTTGGGGCACCTTTTTTGTCTCTCCATTTCTAATCTAGGAGCCTGTTTCTCCAGGGTGATGGATATTCTTCTCACAATCTCAGGACAGAGAGCTTCCCATCACACCTTAGAACTGCAGCGGACAATCCTAGTGCTGGAGGGGTCCTTGATGGGGATTCTCAAATCAAGCCCTTCCATTTTACCTGTAAAGTTCTAGCTCAATTCTATCTTAAATGTCCCCCACAGTCCAAGTGCTAAAGGCTTGGTGACCAGTGGTGAAGCCTTTAGGAGGTGGAGCCACTAGAACGAAGTGAGAGTACTGGGATGTCTTTGAAAGGGCTACGGCGACTCTGGCCCATTCTTGCCCCTCTGTCTCCTGGTTGTCATAGGTGAACAGGCCTCCTCTGCCTTGTGATTATACCATGGCGGAGTGTGCTAGCACAAGCCCAAAACAACAGTGCCAGGTAACCATAGCCTGAAACTTCTGAAGCCACGACCCAAATAAGCTTTCTTTTTGAGTTGATTTTCTCAGGCATTTTGTCACAGCAACAAAAAAGGTACTGATATACCAGTCTGTCTCTTCTGAAGGCTTCCATGACCCACCTCCAGGCCTATCTACCCTTCCTCCTTCTCCTTGAGGGTTCCTAAGCCTCTTGGTCACACTCTCTCAAATGATTTAAATACATAAGTAAGTGCATAAAACTGAAGCTTTCCTGCTCTTGAGTAGTACTGCAGAAACGTCTCATGGCTGTGGTTTTGTTCTTACAGCACAGCCACCTGGAGTGCCCTCACTCACTCTACAGACCCAGTTTTTCCCTTCTGGAAGGCTGGTATACCTCAGCTTTCACCCTAGATTGCAGCCTCCCTCTGGATCCCTCCCTCAGGTCTGCCTTCCTTGCCCATATAGGCTTCCTGTTGGGCATCATGCTGATGAGAGCTTGTGCTGTGCTCTCCTGGAGGGATGGAGACACTTTGGCGTGGAGTTTTGCTGACCCCTGTGCCACAGAGAGTCTCGGGAGTGTGGCACAAAAAAAGAGATGCCTACAGGACTCAGCTGGGTTCTGGGGCTGGTAAGTGTCCAAGCTGCAAATTCCAGACCTAGACCATGAAGTTTCAAATGTGAAAACAGGAACTGGGTCAGAGGAGTCAGACTTCTATTGGCCACATCAGTCTCCAAGGTCAGGGAGTTCATGAAGCTTGACGTACTGGAGGGTACAAATCAAAGCTTCTCCCAGGCACATGGTTTTTATAGAAGTGGTCAAAGGAGTTGTTGGGCTGCTGGTCACACATGGACTCACAGGAGTGTGGGGGGCAGTGTAAGGCCAGGTTGGCTGGTAGCAATGTCTTTAGGACAGTATATATCAGTTGGGGCCATATAAAGGGGCTGGAGACTCACTGCTGGAGTTGAAGAAGAAGAATGATGGAGATGTGAGCAAATGTGCTGGGAGGTACTGGATGGAAGTGGGGAGGCCAGGCCAGACCCAGGGGGCTGTGGGTCAGGGAAGGGACAATGTAATTTTTGTGGCAGGCACTGTCCCAGACCAAGCCCCAGAGGACAAAGACATGGTCTCCTCCCACCCTTTGCTTCTTGCCAGCCTCTCTGGGGGCCCCCAGGAAGGAGAACTCACTTGCGAAAACAGTGGGCGGTGGATACCAGCCAGTGGGAGTCGATGAGGACAGCTCCACAGAGGTGTGAGCCGCGGTACAGCAGGCTTGCCTGCCATGGCCACTGGCCAGCCTCTGTGTCCTGGCCGCCGTACACTTTCCCTACTGCTTTTGTCTTTCCGCACACTGTGGAGACATCCCCACCCTGTTAGGGACACAGGGGGCCCCAACATGCCACCACAAAGGGGACCCTCTTCCACGTCACAGGTAGAAAGACCAGGACAAAGGATAAGGGACCTGGCATAGATGGAAGGGTTGCCCCAGGCTCTGCTTTGAAAGGGCATTGGAGGGACTGGATGGCCAAGCTGGCTTTGTTGGAATGAGGACCTGAGGTCTGGGGAGGACAGGACAAGGGTGAAAGCTTGATCACTTCAAGCACATCCTTTATTGAGCCTGCCAGACAGCCGTGTGGATAGGGCAGCAGGGTCCACGACCACCTCCCAGTCACTAAACGTTCAGTGCCTACTCTGCGCAGATCAAAGCACTGCAGATCACTCAGGTCACTTGTGCTCCACACTTGCTCAGAGTCACACCTTCTGCATCACCCAGGCATCCAGGGAGAGAATGTCTGGGTGTGGTGGACCTGGGATAAACTGCTCCTGCCATGGGATTCATGATGCTCTGCTGATACGAGCAGATATTGGGGAGCTTGGGAAGACACCTTTGGCTCTGAGACTCTACCCTCTGGGAAGCGGAAGATCAGCCCGTTGGGGAGGGAAGGTCCTGGTCCCCGGGGTTGTGTTCACACCTTTAGGCCCTCCAGTTCATGGTGATAATACTTGTGCTGGCTCCCTCCATCTACCCACTGGAAGCACCCTGGCTATCTGTCCAGGTCCAAAGCCCACATCTACTTAGTATGTTTCTCACCCGAGACAGCTTCCCCTGGGATAGTAACCCTGACCCATCTTGTCACAGGCTGTCTCTGGGTTGTCTTGCTCAAGGAGAACACACACAGAACACACTCGGGTTAGTTTGGCACCGGGCCTGGCCAGAGCCCTCCTCTCTCTTTGTCCCCCTCCCCTCAAACGGACCTTGGGCCCCGCTTGCCCAGTCCTCGGGTCCACTGGCTGCCTTCTGTACCCTCGAGGTACCCTCTTTCTCTCCTGGAGCCTTCCAGGGGCTGGACCCCAGGGGCTCCGGGGTTTGGGCTGCCTCAGGACTCAGGGTCAGCAGTGCTGGTAGCAGCAGCAGCAGCAGCAGCCTCCGGGGCAGGAGACCCGCCCCACCTCGGGTCCCTGCTCCCTGAGCTCCCATATGGCGGTATAGATGGGGTTCGGCTGACTCTGACCACAACCCAACCCCAAGCAGGCGCCCCTTGACCCCTACGTACGCACGCACGCACGCAAGCACGCAAGCACGCACTGACGCCCGCACGCTCGGACATGGTCTGTGACCGCAGCCAAGAGAATGCCTGGAAGGCTTACGCCAGACGGTTTAGAAACGGCGCTGTGGTTCAGTGTCTGAACGTTCGCCTAGCATGCCTGATGCCCTGGATTTGGATCCCACCGTGGAAAAGGGAAAAAAGAAAACAAGAAACCCACCTCTGCTGACTCCAGATGGCCCACGGCTTGACTCTGTGCCTTGACCCGTCCTACCACCCTGGTCTCAAGGGTACCAAGCATGACTGACTTTCAGAGCGAGCTGGTGCCAGTGCTCCTAGAGATCAGCGAGGATATAGAAAAGTGGGAAAGGATGTAAAAAGGTGTGTACCCTGGAGGTTACCCTGGTAGTGCAGCACCAAAACGCACGCACAAAACAGGACAGATAAGTTACTTCATGGAAGAAGGACTATGAAGACTCATACATAGTAAAAGAAAAGTTTAGTTAACTGGAAAATGAAAGTTTAAAAGTGACCTTTCTTTCTTTCTTTCTTTCTTTCTTTCTTTCTTTCTTTCTTTCTTTTTAATTGTATTTAGGACAGGGTCTACAGGGTCTCATTGCATAGATCGGACTCGTAATGATCCTCCTGTTTGAAGCCCCCCCAAGTGCTGAGATTACAGGCGTGAGCCACCATGCCCAGTCTCAGTCCCCTGGCTCAGTGCTCCCGGGGCCCGTGCCCGCCGGGGATCGAATCCCTGGCCCCTGCATCTGTCAAACAGAAAAGTGTCATTTCTAACCACCAGAGGGCAAACTTTTTGTCAGACAAGTATCCCTAACCTGCCCCCCTGCCTAAATTGCAAAGACATGCTCCTCATTGTGTTCAGAGATATAATATCCTGTCATTTTCGTATTTATTTTCTTGTGTCTTTGCTGTTTTTACTAGACTGTCAACTTCAGATTACATAGAGCTTAATTTATTCAGCACTAGCCACAAAAATATATGAAATGGGGCAGAACTGGTTCTGGGTACTTAAATTGGAGTCTCTGTAGGTCACATATCAGATGCACCCGTTGCTGAATGAATCTCAGAACTGAGCTGCAGACAAAATCCCTACGTTCATCCGCAGCTGACTTCTAGACTTCAGTCTGGGCTAAATCCACAGTAGGTGGGGCGGTGCAAGGCTGCTTCCAGGAATGAGTTTGGGAGAATTGCTTCCCTTTCAATCATGTTGAAGAATTTCAGAAGAAATGGTGTTAAATCGTCTCTAAATTTCTTGGAGATTTCAGCGGTGAATTTATCAGGGCTTGGCTTTTCTTTGTTGGTAGGTTTTTTTTTTTTAACTACATTTTCAACTTCATTGACTGATACTAGGTTATTCAGAATTTTTATATCCTCTTGATTCAGCTTTGCTAATTCGTATATGTCTAGGAATCTGTCCATTTCTTCTCTGTTTTTCTTCCTGTGAGAGTAAAGAGTTTGGAAGTAGGTATTGATGATCTTCTGAATATCTTTTGAATCTGTAGTGGTTTCATCTTTTTCATTCCTTATTGTATAAATTTGAATTTTTTCTTTCCTTTTTTTTTTGATAAGTTTGGCTAGGGGTTTATCGATTATATTTATTCTTTCAAAGAACCAACTTTTCAATTCATTAATTCTTTGTATTGTTTTTCTCATCCCCATTGCATTAATATCTTCCCTGATCTTTATAATTTTTGCCTTGTTTGGGCATGTCTTTCTCTTATTTTTCTAGGAACTTGAGGTACAGCATAAGATTGTTTATTTGGGCTTGTCCTGTTTTCCTGATATGAGAATTCACTGTTATGAATTTCCCTTTTTTGATGCCTTTCATTACATCCCACAGGTTCTGGTAAGTTGTATCTGCATTTTCATTTGATTGTAAATATTGTCCAATTTCATCTGTGACCCATTGATCAGGAGTTTCCATGTGTTTATCGAGTTTTTGTGTTTCTTTTGTCAGTAGTTTTCAGATTCATTGCACTATGTCAGAGAGTATGCATGGGACAATTTCAGTTTCTTTGCATTTACTTAAGCATGCTCTATGTGTTAGTATGTGGTCTATTTTGGAGAATGTCTTGTGTGCAGCTGAGAAGAATGTGTATTCTGGTGTTGCTGGGTGAAACACTCTGTAAAGGTCTACCAAGTCAATGTCTTCACAAGTTTGATTTAGTTCTGTTAATTATTTGCTGATTTTTTGCCTAGTTGATCTATCTCTTTGTGATAA